TTATTCCTTTCCTCTTTGCAGGAGAAAGGATGCGTTTAAAGACATCCTTACCTCCGCTACTTGTCTCTTCTCTAGTCTGGACAATCCCAATTCTTTAACAGTGTGGTCAGAGGCCATACTTTCTGATAAAGTAGAATGAGACTAATTATGCCTTTTCTTGCATTAGTTTACTCTGTCATAACAAAAAGAGGGTCGTATAAAATTAACCTGTATTGACAGCAGCTTGAAAAAAAAAGACTCAGACCAAACATGCTGTTCTGTGAAATGGAAAAACATTATTGCTGAACAATTTATCATTTGAATTCGTTCTTCGAGGTGTTCTGCTCTCTTGTTTTGGGCTGAGGCTCTGAGATACAGTTATTTTAATTAGTAGGAAGTCTCTCAGAGACTTGGCTGCTTATTGAAGAATTTTTAAAATGGATAAATCCAGTAAACTAATTTGCAGGTTTCCGTTACCTAATTGGTTTTGTGTAATATAATTCTCTGTTATATACTCTTGTTTATAAAACAATCCTTAAGCTGTTTCAACAATTTCCATAAGACTGTGTTTAGGTATCACTGGAAACTGGAACACCATTTAAACAGTTAACCAATTCTGTTGTCTTCAGGTAGAATAAAGATTAAACTTTTTACAAGTCAGTTCAATTGATCAAGAATGTATAAAATGACAGTAGGAAAGGACTTTGGTAAGGTCCTCTTGTTGTATTTATTTCCTACACATGGCTGCTTATACTAAGTATTGTTTTAAATGAATCGACAAATCATTTCTTTGCAGTATAAATAAACTGTGCGAGTGCTACTCTTCAAGGTAATTCTAAGGAAAGAACATCCACAGCTGGATACCTGAAATAGCTGCCAGAAATTTTCACTTCATCAGAAAATCTAGACTGAAATATCTGAAATATGAAGCAGTTGAACAGCTGCTCTGACCAACACAGAGACTCTTATCATGGTCTCTAATCTACATCAATGCTGTTTGGTGCTAGAGGATACTTTTTCCCGGTATTATCTGCTAAAATATATAGCAGTAAGAGTCCTCAGCAACATTCTAGCTTGTTTGAACAAATAGGGTTTGTTGTTTTTTTTTTTTTTCACTGCAAGCAATTGTAAATCTTCTCTCTATTAGATTTTATGTCTGCATTGATATTTTCAGTATATCACCAGGAAATCATCAAGAATATCAGAAATCAGACAAATTCTAACAGTTTAGTGATGACCATTACATTGGCCAGGTGGTAATCATAGTCTTCAAAAAACCCTTCTCAGTGGTCTAATTTAAATCAATTAGATCAACTGTTTTCATGCACTGAAACGAGTAATAGATATCCAATGAAGCTATTTATCAGAGCCATATGGTGGCCTAGTGATAGCCAAAATAGAAAGAATAAGTAATGTAAAATAATAATCCAGTTATATGAAAGACTTCTGTATTATACAACTGTATCTGAGGTGTTAATGAGTGGTCAGAGAAAACATGATACCTGCAAGGCAATTTGGAGATGCGTGCTTGCTAGACAACTCTACCAGAAAAAAGCAGATTTCCGTATCTCAGCAATCAACTGTTGGAAACAGTCAAGAAAAGAATGAGAGCGGAAAAGAGTTTTATTATAGCGTATAGATCTAAAAGTTTGTACAAAGCTGAAACTATACAGCCAAAATATCTCTTCCTTGTAACTAAAAAATAAAAATGCAGTCCCTTTTTGCATATCCGATGCCACGCTCAACCAAGAGAAGGAAGGTGACAGACAGCTGCAAGATTCTTCCTTTGCTCTGTCATTGAAAAAACTCTCCTATCACTGATGTTTTATTGAAAAAATAAAAACTGCTCTGCTATCTCCTTTCTAATAACGCCAATAGAAAGTATCAAAGCCTTTACCACCTATATTGCATGAATTAAAGGAACATCTCTTGGCCTATTTACTTCTTTACCTTGTGTAAAAACAAACAAACAAACAAACAAACCCCACATTTCAAGGAAGGATGTATTCTTCCTCTGATAGTCTTGGTTTTTTACCAAGATGCGTGCAGCTCTATGTAAGCTCTACTTTAGTTATGGTTTATGAATTCTCATGTTAAAATCTATGCCGGTATCCCATGGTCATTTAGCAGAGGGTTACATTATGTTTTGTTAGAAACATTTACTCTCTGCTTACCATACAATCATAATAGGGTTATGCGTGATTCTGCAAACTAGAACACTGCCCTCACTCTATCTGCTATGACAGAGCAGATGCACAGTGGGGATCCAATGTTTTTTCCAAGTCCTTGTTTTGAAACAGATGGGGAGATTTAAATTAATGTTTTGGTATTATGAGTAAATACATGATTGTAAAATTTTGAGATATACTTTATTTCTGCAATTTATCATTTAGGAGTTATAATGATGATTAAGATTTGATTTTAAATAGGACTATCAAATATCACTAGTAGAGCCTAATTTAAATGAAACTTCCTGAGTCAATGAAATAGTTATATTGATCTACTTTAGATTTAATCTTGTGGTTAAACATTTATAGTTTATTTAATACACTAGAAATTCTCATATACTTTCAATGGAAATCTAATGCATTAAATAGGTTAGGGAGATAACTATTTTAGAAAGTACAAGTGCTATAAAAATGACTGAAAATGTATTCAGTTCAAAGCAGTTACTCAGGAGATTTATGCTATAGCAGGGTTTGGGGTTTTTTTTATTAATGTTATTGCTAGAGCAGCAGATGATAGTAATACCTAGTGCTGGGTGAAAAAAAAAAATATTATTTTCAAGTTTCCAGGGATTTTATGGCAGCCCTGCTCACATCTTTGGGAAAATATATTTAAAACTTCATACCAAATTTGCTGAATTGCTCATCCAACTTTTGACACTGTGGAACTCATCCAATTAAATGCAAGAAAGGAATTATCTCCTACCTTTGGTTACTCACAGTCATTCAATGAGGTATGACACTTCAACTGTTACTGCAGTAACACAAATAACTTGAAATGAGAACATGATCTGTATATGGGAAGCCTGTAAAACTTTTCTGAGTGTGTGTTTTCTCTGAATTAACTATTCATTTTTAGTACTGGCCTTTGAATCTGTGAAACGAATGGGCAGACATTGTTTAATATAGTTGGGTTACCTAGAAGGTAACCTCTCATGTCATGACACTGCACCTTCTTGAAGAAAACAGAGCTCTATTTCAAATGCCAAGCCCCAACAGAAATTGTTTCTGTGGTTTATGTAGACAGGAATAATGACAACTGATGTCTTCCTTACAGAAGGAAAGAAATGTATGAAGAAACTAAACAATATTATAGCCTGAAGACAATTATTTTACATTGTGGTGAGTGGTTACTTTGAAATTGTCTGTTGCATATGATGACTAGATATTCTGAATCTTGACCGGGCAGTCTGCAGGATCCTGAGCTGTTTAGCTGCTGCTTTGTAAATTCAGGGTATGCGTGCTTGCTAGACAACTCTGCCAGAAAAAAGCAGATTTCTGTATTTCAGCAATCAACTGTTGGAAACAGTCAAGAAAAGAATGAGAGTGGAAAAGAGTTTTATTATGGTGTATAGATCTAAAAGTAAATTCAGATAAAAATGACACATCATTTTTATCATCAATGATACAAGGTTTCATCAAGCTGTATCAAATTAACATCCAGTTTTGAATGGCACTATTAGGCATAAACATATTAGACTTTTATAATGTAGTACCAAAACGTTAGACTATTATAATGTGTCAACAGTTTGCATAATTCTCAGTAAGAATGCAAATAAAACCGTTGTATTTAACAAGCACTGAAACTGCATATTGTAAGAAGTTATTACTATAATTTCTTTTCATAATTTACTATACTAGTGTTTCCACACAGCTTCCATAAAATACCTACTAACTTCATACGATAATACTGTGGTAGGTGCTTTCAGGGCAGACTGGAACTTTTCTGAACAATTTAAAAAATCTGCCTAAATAAACAGGTCTCTCTCACTTAAAATTTTCCAAAGAAAATCTAGGGTTTATATTAGCCTTTCACAATCCTTAATTGACTCTAACAATAGTAGTTAAGTGCACATCATATACGGCAGCACATAATAATCAACCTGAGAAAAGAATAAATGCCGAAATACTTTTGCTACATGTAGAGGAATAACACTGAGCAAATTGTTGCTATTATCAGATTGGTCACATTCTCAGTCAGGAATGTGTTGTATCCTACGGCAATACTTTCAGGAAAGGAATTGTATAGTACCTGTGAATTGGCATTTCCTGCACTGTAACATGTCTTTCTGAAAGAAGTTCTAGGAACATTGCCAGAACTAGAACTGGCATGAAATCATATTCAAACCTTAGTCAACATATTGCAGACTGAAACATCTACTTTGCAGTCAGGGTTGAACTTCTGTGATATATTGACAACAAACTATACCATACTTAGTTCAGAGGTTGTGGCCAAAGAAAGGAGACGCAAGGATTGTACCATACTCTCCACATCAGACCTCTGGACAACACTCAGTCTTGGAAAGGACAGACATTACAAACAGCCCAGCCCAGAGCCTGAAGCATACCAGTTACTATCAAACTCCCCAGTTTCACCCAGGAGAATCGTTAATGTTGAGTAAAAACGCATTTAACTTGCATGGTCAGTATCTGAGACATAGGAAGGTATTTATAATGCCAACATTTGGTATGTAAGGTCAAAGTCTGAAAACTGTTACTTAAGTTCCCTAAAAAATCAGAATAAATAGACACCACCGATAGATCCCCCAAAAGACATAATTATGAGCTTTATAACTACTATACGATAAAGTCACCACAAACTTCTATGCTCTTTCCATTCAGAACTTGCTAAGTTATTACTGCTATGAATATGTAATGGTTGGACTCAACCTTAATGATTCTATGATTCTATGTACAGTATAGACAACAAATATTTTCAAATTTCAAACTTGGTAGCATTATATTACCTAAATGTAAATTAAAAAAGCAAGAAACAACAGTATCTTCTGTACTTACAAATAGAATTTTTCATCCCATACTGGATTCAAGTTTCCAAAAATAGTCTTTGTTCTACGCTTTGTTTTGCCAACTTGCACAGTAACATATGGGTCACTTGAACCTGTTTTGTCCTTAGCCTGTAAGCCCTGAGCACAAAGAACTGCAACAAAAGGAGAGAAATATGCTTTAGCCCTCATAGCCTTCATTGCCAAGAAATAAATGAGACAGTGACAACAGCAACAGGAAACAAAACACTCAAACTCAGGGCTCCTGAAGCAAAGCTTTCAGGATTAATTTTCCCAGTGTCTGTTACTCAGGAGATAGACAAGTCTTGTCTAACTACCCTTCTGGACTGTATAAAATTTACAAATATGGTTTAATAGACTAATAAATTTAAAGACTCACTACAGAGCACAAAATAAATACTTTTCTTGTCATTCGTAATTCAGACACTCTCCTCAAACTTTGGTTTAATCAGCATGACAAGTAATATAACTTGGCTTGAGTCTAATAATTCCTAAAATTTCCATTTCCCCCCAAAAATAAAAAAATAGATAGTGATTTCCAAAGATCCAAAACAGAATTTCCAACATAAAGCCTCCAAATTTCAAAAATCTGCCCTGTGGATTATGAAACTAAACATGAGCGGCATGGTTATGACTTTGTCATTTGTTTTCCTCGTGTGAGAGATGAACCATGAGGATTTTCAGAATACTTTCTATTCTATCACAGACAGGGTGACAGTTCAGATCAATTATCATTAACTGTTTATTTATTTGTCAGCCTTTCTGACAGTTAATGTGGGTGTATAGTTAGCATATACGCATTTTGTGGCAAATATAAATACACACAATTTGATTTTCCATCATAATTCATAAAACTGGAAATCTCAGGAGAAAGCAGAACTGTCAAATAGTAGCCCACCAAACCCAGAGAGCTGCAGCTAAAACACTTGCCATGGCTCCTAGCATCAGCAGAGCTTGGTTTTATTATTTTGCGCATATTATTTAAACGAACTCAGTGGTAACATTTAGTTAACATTCTCTAATGTCAATCATTTTGGATAACGAAGCTCCCTCAGTGTGCTCAGAAAAATGATTACATATAAAAGACACCTTCTTACTCAGCAGATCAGCTCCTGGTGTGGGTTCAGTCATATCTGATGACTTCAGTGAAAAAAGTAAGTTTCTGTTACTTTTTTACACATCTCATTCCTGAAAAGACTAACTCTTAGGAATGAACTAGACAATCCCAAAATTCAACAACTATTCTTTTGAGTTTCATACACTGTCCTACAACCTTCAGAATAGCCTCCCTTTCTCCTAATCCATCTGACTCACAACCTCAGATTTTCCCTAGATTTCTTCTGGCACATATCTGCTATTCTTCAGCTCCATGTACAGTTTACGTACTGCCCCAAATGTGATTGGGCTTCAGCCTGGACTACAGAGCAATGTGCAGCTAAAAACACACCTACCAGCTCTCACAGAATAATTCATTCATGGTCCACTTGGGAAATGCTTTTCTTCTTCCCCTCGTGAATGACAGCTTTACATTTCAGCAAGGGAAATAGCAATTCCATCTCTCAGTGACCCTTCCCCGATATACAAAAAAAATTGCCATGGAATCTAAAAGCACTACAGTAAAATTTTTTGAGCATGCAACCCAAATACATTTATTTATTTACAAATTATATACATGTACCACTGCGCTAATACATTATGCACGTTATAAAACATACAAACCCAGAAATTAAAAAAAAGAATATAAAAAGATGAAATAATCAATATTTTAAAAAAATTTATTAATGTGTTTGAATATGCTTCATTATTTTTTAAAATATTGTTTTAACACTTTGTGATACAGTGATTTGAAAATCTGGGTCTAAGTCCAGTTCTAATGCCTGCCATAGCTGAAAAAGATACCTCACAAAGGTACGTAGATCCAAATGGAAGAAGTGCATCATTGGCTGTACTTACTAAATCACTACACTAATTTTTCATTCCCATCTACCAATTACACAAAGGTTTTTGTTGAAATTCAGCTGGTAAATTTCCATCTTGCCTGATGTGAACCAGTTGTTCTTGCCTACTAATTGGAGTGTTGCATTTTTATATTTTTAACAAATGGGTTCAAAACCCACTGAAAGTCCTCATTTGGAAGATTTTTAAACAAGGTAGAAAATTCCAATTCCAAGGTTTTTTTTAAGTGTACAGATTAGAGTTTTTGTAGGTGACACAAATTGGTTTTGGCAGCACAATCACATAACAATGGAAACATTTCCAAACATCTTTTTCATAATGCTCTCACCACAGCACCAGTTTCTTTTGAAAAGCAGTTACTTTCTCACTCATTGTTAAAATGATACCTTTACCTTGAAATGACAGTTTAAATGTTTTTATTTTTTCAAAAATATCTCCTAGGCAGCTGTCCTGGTTTCAGCTGGGATAGAGTTATTTTTTTCTTCCTAGTAGCTGGTATAGTGCTGTGTTTTCGGTTTAGTATGAGAATAATGTTGATGATAACACACTGATGTTTTAGTTGTTGCTAAGTAGCGCTTACACCAGTCAAGGACTTTTCAGCTTCCCATGCTCTGCCAGTGAGAAGCCTGGAGGGGGCACAGCTGAGACAGCTGACCCAGACTGGCCAAAGGGCTATACCATACCATATGATGTCATGCTCAGTATATAAACTGGGGGGAGTTGGCCGGGGGGCAGTGATTGCTGCTCGGGAACAGGCTGGGCATCAGTCAGTGGGTGGCAAGCAATTGTATCGTGCATCACTTGCTTTATATATTATTATTATTATATTATTATTTTATTATTATTATTATTACTACTACAACTACTATTATTACTATTTTATTTTATTTCAATTATTAAACAGTTCTTGTCTCAGCCCATGAGCTTTCTCACTTTTACCCTTCTAATTCTCTCCCCCATCCTACCAGGGCAGGGCGAGTGAACGAGCAGTTGTGTGGTGCTTAGTTGCTGGCTGGGGTTAAACCATGATAGTAGCATACTACTGACAGCCACTTGTCATTACAGAAAAAGCTAGCAAATTTGAAACACTTGTCTTTTGTAAGAGAAAAATGTGTTACTCATCTTTAAGTTTGACAACTCTTTTAACACTTTGCCACAAGATAACCAGCAAACCTCTGTGCAGTACAGAGGATTTTCATGGTCACTCCCCATCTCATTACTAAGTATTGTAAGGACTGTAAAGAAGAAAGACTTCACCGTACCCATCAAGTTTGACTGCAGAAAATGCCTTGCAACCTGGCTCAGGAGGTCTGGGGTAAAGGGTAAAAAGGGTAAATGCAGAGTGAAATGGATTTTTTTTTTTTTTTTAATGATGGGTAGAACATGATGCCAGTTAGGGAAGGAATTAGCAGTCTTCTATAACTTGGGACCCAACATATATTAAGTTATTTATGTGGAAG